CATTTGTGACGTGCACAAAGTGCCACGTCACAGCATATAGAAACACCTCAACTTTATTTTAATATTTTTTATTTTTGAAAATAATTATTTTTAAGGCCGCTATAATAGATCTCCGGGCACTTCTCTAAAACAAAGTTGTTCGGCGGTATGCACGATATCTCGTGTCTGGATCATGTGAAATTAAAAAACCAAAAATATTTCGTTAATATAACGTATTATCTCGTAACTAATCGAATCGATTTTCGATCATAATGTTAGTCTTAAGGGGCTCATCCCATGTGAAGGCTTTTTTTTCCTCTTTTTTTTCGTAGTCGCATACGAAACGAGTCACTTTTATATATAAATGAATCCATCATTACAGTTACACTAAGGCAGTTGATAAGGCATCCCTCTCTGACCTGATGACTGTAAAGGCCATTCTACAATGCAACGGGACACGGGATACGGAACACGTAAACGGCATGGTATTCAATTGTATATTTGCAAAATTCCTTTGGATCCTCCAATTATGAAGGAGAAAATAGTTTTTAAAACCGAACATTTACTAAATCTCTACGATTTTAGCAACGTCTCGGACATAGTAACGATACAGAAGCGGTTGCTAGGGTCATTACGTATTTTAGGGATCACGGAACGTGATGAGTAGCATGCAGCATGCCCCGTTTCGTGCACCGTAACGGCTTACGTGAAAAAAACAATTGCCCTGCCAATATTTTCATACGTAAAATGTCATTACCTGTCACCTGTCACCTGTCATCATCTGTCATTATGGCGAACATAGACGAGATCATTATCAATATCGTTAGAGAAATCTAATTTCTCTACAATAAAAGTCATCGTGACTTTAAAAATGAAGTAATGATTCACTTATTTGTATGAATAAACGCATACACATTTTTTTTAAATATTTATATATTGACAGATCATGAAAGGTGACAGGTAATGACATTTGACAATGACGTTGCGTGCTCCGTGAAATCCTTAACGACCCTAGCAACCGCTTCCGTATCGTTGCTATGTATTTTTAACGTAAGCCGTTATAAATTACGGAACGGGGCATGCTCGATGTTACTCATCACGTTTCGTGCTCCGTGAAGTCCTTAACGACCCTAGCAACCGCTTCCGTATCGTTGCTATGTATTTTTAACGTAAGCCGTTATAAATTACGGAACGGGGCATGCTCGATGTTACTCATCACGTTTCGTGCTCCGTGAAGTCCTTAACGACCCTAGCAACCGCTTCCGTATGGTTGCTATGTCCAAGATGTCACCAAAATCGTAGAGACTTAGTAAACGCTCGGTTTTAAAAACGATTTTCTCCTTTATTGGAGGATCCAATGGAATTAGGTAAATATACAATTGAAGATCTTCATACGTGAAATGTCATTACCTGTCACCTGTCATTATCTGTCAATATATAAATATTAAAAACAATTATTGTATATGCCTTTATTCATATAGATAAGTAAATCATTACTTTATTTTTAAAGTCACGATGACTTTTATCGTAGAGAAATTTGATTTCTCTAACGATATTGATAATGACCTCGTTTATAGAGTTGGTAATGACAGGTGACAGATTGGCGAGGCAATTGTTTTTTTCACGTAAGCCGTTACGGTGCACGAAACGGGGCATGCTCCATGCTACTCATCACGTTCTGTGCTCCGTAAATTCGGTGGATCCGCCAAGTAGTACTTGGTAAGGAATCACCTACAGTTTTATAAATTATTAAATGACCATTAAATCATAATCAACTACGGGAAGCAGTAGTAATGTAAAAGAGCAGCGAAAACGTCATAGGAACTTTTGAAAATAAAATTAAAATAATGGGCCAGTGCCAGATCATATAAGAGGCAAACATGTAGTGACTTACGTACTTGGCCTCAATAATATGATTTCAATACTTTTTACTAGATGTATTCACAGCACTCCTGTACTCGGCATAGTTTTTTACACATAAGTGGTTTTTAGGGGATATTCTCCTTATTGTAAAATAAATATGTTAAATATTATATGAAAATGAGTAAACTATATCCCGTTTTGCGTGTCAATTTAATTTCCATTATTTTGATATATGTCTTATCCACTACTTACAGCAAAAAGCGATGTAAACGGCTGGTTTATTATATACATATAAAATTTTACTTGCAGTAACTAATTGTACACTAGGTTATATTATGCTTAGGTTGGAAACTGGTAAAGCAAAAGAACTGCTGGTCGTAGTAAAAAGGAACCTAGTCTTCTTAAGCAAATTCTTGAAATGTTACCGACGCGGTTTTCTAAAATCTGACCTGACCAACCAGTCACACATCATGCCTTGGAAAATGATATACAGAAATGAAATTGGTATTCATGGCTACGGGTATTATTGAATAAAGTAGGTGTAGGGTACATATTAGACACTGCAACTCCAGCCTTACAGAATGCTTAAACCCGCTTTTGGAAATTATCGTGCAGAGACAATTCCAGTTAGATGAAGTTAAAGCCTTACGGTCAACATATTCGCCGAGCTATAGACAGATAAAACAACTAAACAAGCTCAAAACCGAAGACTATCTCAGAACAAATATCCCACTACCATTCGTTAGATTAATCGCCCAATGTCGACTGTCTGGGCTAAATAAGATAACTCTGCAAAGCCCTCGTTCAATTTCGCGTTTCTAGTAATCCTGTAATGGGTTAAATTAAGATGTTTCTAAATTTCATAATAGCCCTATTTTTTAACATTGTACCAACGAGTATGAGGTTGCTTAAGGTCTACGTAAGTAGGTCTACCGTCTACGTAAATCAAACTGTTGTGTCTAAATTTTTTATAAATGAAAGTGTAAGTATTCAGTTACATGTCAAAAAATTTCAAACCCGTTTACCGGTCATTTCAGAGAATATTTAAATGTTGAAAATGAACATTTTTATATGGGATCTTTCGGCCGTAGCAACCAGTTGCATTTGTTCGTTAAAAATTTATATACTTAGAACAAAGATAGCGGAAATATAAAAAGTATTTCGTGTTCGTTAGACATTACGGATTGTCGTCTCTGATAAAAAAAAAAAGTAGAGTTACCGGACATCTCAAGAGTTAATCAAATTTTAATCGAGACGATAACGAATTGAGAAGGAGCGGCTCGCTTTCAATGGCGTCGCTCTGAACATGGCGCAACAGCTTGGCAACAGTGCATTATGGTATATAACTATAATATAAACTGATTCAAGTGAGCAATTAAAATTAGTTTTGTAACAAAAGTCGGGATATTATAATTAGGGCACGTTATTAAGGAAGTCCTCTCGATACATGCTAATCAACTGATCAAGTATCGAATCAATTCCATAAATCGATTAAGACAAACCGGACTTTCTACGAAATTATTCACATTCAGTTTGTTTTTAGGTGTTTATCTTTGTGAAATTAGGTCATTTGTACAAATATTTTTAAAAATCATACTCTCATTTGACTTTTATTTATTTGTTTATTGGGTCTCTCCCGGTGAACCGATGGAGATCCGGCAATTTAATTTACAATTACTCTTTGAAACACCCGGTAAGGTCACTTTTTTATGGTATGTATCGAATCCTGAAGAATTCACGAATCCGTAGTATACCATTTTTTGCTTCAAAGTTCACTTTAAATATGTTAGTTTCTCATCCAAAGTCAAAAAATCAATCTCTGTGACCTTTGAGTCTATACAGAGTGTATCACCAGAAATGCACGTTTGAGATTTGCGGTGAAACGGTGCACAATTTGGAAAATCTGATGTCACAACCATTGAATGTTTTTTTATTGCGCATCGAATGGGCATATTATTACTGTTCGCTCAACTTCCGGTCGCAAATAAAAAAAATTATCTTCGCCATTTCAAATGATATTGAAACAAGTTAAATGCAAAAGTTGTAGAGCAAGAAAAAATAATAAAGATGAAAAAAAAGTTTTTCACCGCAAATCTCAAACGTGCATTTCTGGTGATACACTCTGTATATAAAGTTTCATTTTTAATATTGATTTTCTTAACATTTTCATCGGTGACCGACCTTCAAATTTTGCAATTGAGTTCAGAATTGTTTAATTTATCACCTATTAACCCTTATGTGCGCACGCGGGTACCTGGGTACCACCCTCGTCACATTGTTGCTTGTAACTTTTTGAAAAATTTTGTTTTCGATCTGAGCCTCCGGATCTAGGAAGTTTAACTCTTCACGAAGAGATTCCCATAGCTATATTTCGAAAAAAATTGTTTGCAATAAAAAAATGAACTTAAAGTAAGGTTAGTCCCAGGGGGCACCTAGGATACCCGGGTACCCACTAGAGAAAAATTTGATATATTCATCTGTAAATCAATGTTAATGTTAATAAATGTTCCATTAGGGTAATATTGAATAATAAATAAACAAATACAATAATTTATAGTGTAAATATAATAACTATCTAACTGCCAATTTCACAAACATTTGGAACATCTGCTGTTCGATAAAGCCAATAATTGGCTGTGGAGCGCTCGAGATCCCCTCCTTCGATCTCTCTTTGTGGCAACTACACGCTACTTTTAAACGTAAATACAGCTTAATTACTTTTTAATTATGTTTACTCAATTAAGTAAATCGATTTATAATCATTCTGTTTACATCTGAATTCAAAAAGTAATTAAAACTGCACGTGGGTACCCGGGAACCCCGTTTGCGCATCAACGTAGGAGAAGTTAGGTGCGCATATAAGGGTTAAAGTTTCATACGCGAAAATTCAAGCAGATGGTTTCGACAGGACCTCCTTAAAAAATCTGAATTATTTGTGCAACTAATTACTATAATATTCTGGGCGCTTAATTTTCAACATATAGTCGCTAGGACTCATGACCCCTGCATAGCAGAAGAACTATCTTAAAATGAATAATTATATTGATATCAAAAAACAATGCATTGTTAGGAAAAAGCATACAGTTTATGAAATTGCAAAGTTCGTGTATATTGATAACAATAATACAATAATAAACATTGAATACCTGTGATTACAGATGGGTATGGTCTGAAGCTGGAGCACAACCGAATTTGGAGGAAGCTTTGGAAATTGGGGGCTTCGGGTATCCAGCATTAGCTGCCGTTAATGTTAAGAAAATGAAATATTCTTTGCTTAAAGGTAGCTTTTCTTATGATGGAATCAATGAGTTTTTGCGAGATTTGAGTTATGGTCGTGGAGGTACAGCTCCTCTTAAAGGAGCACAGCTTCCTAAAATATATAAAACAGAACCGTGGGATGGTAAAGACGCTGAACCGCCACAAGAAGAAGACAACGATTTAAGTGATGTCGTGTTAGACGAAAAGGACGAATTGTAAACATGTAGAACAACTTTAATGCTCTATTATAAAAGTTGTAGTTATGTTTAGTCACTTATTTCATACCAACTGGATAAAGAAAGTTTCTTTTCGTAAATTAATTTTATGAAGTAACAATAGCTTGTTATTATTTCAAAAGGTCTGTAAATTGTTGGCGATCCATATTTTGGCCATATTATCGAACTGAAATTTTTTTATAACATAAGTTTTATTCATACAACTAAATGAGCTAGGTTTACAATTGCGTATATGACCTTTTTTTTTCATAAATTTTGTAGCAAATAAGAGAGAAATTTGATAACTGTTCATTTATGAATAATCAAAATGTCAAATAAATTCTACCACATTTCTTCAGTTTTCAATTTTACTTTCCAACTATCCCTCGTAAAAGTACTATATACTTAATTTTAAATCTGTTATAGATCGTTAAATCTTTTATAATACGTTGTAGTCAAATTTTGGTATTAAAATCAAATACATTGTTATTTGTATGATTTCATGCATCTGTTACGTAGGTCGTAGTGGCTAGCAAAGCCTTTAAATTTAATAACGAAAATTTAAAAGTAACCAAAAGAAAAGGAATGACCAGAGGTAACGTGAATAAAGTTTGAGTGAATTCCGAGCGGTAAATATACACTCAAAGGTGGGATCGTTGCTCGTTTAAGGTGTGGAAACACGCCTTGCTATTCCAACATGGAGAGATATTCCCTGAAATGCTTATGGATAGATATATGGAAAAATAAATCAGTAAGTTTCTATAAATTATTGTTCTTTACAGTGTTTGAGTTATGAGAAATTCGGGGTAGACATTCTAATATTGAATTACAAAACCTGACTGTATGTGCGATTAAGGCGATAAGAAATTTTGTGGAACAGAAAATTATCTAGCATATACGTTACTTGATTTAGAAAAGACTAGTCTATGCGGCTCAATTTTGTCTGGTAACCGATCCAGCTTGTTCCCTAGGTATGTAATAACGAATCCGTACCTAGGCCAGATTGCGAATATTACACCGGGTCTAATACTCTAACGGTTAGAGCCATGAGTGACAATCTGCAGTGCAATCTTTTACGCGTGAAACTAAACGATTTTCTGAGCATCAGTACCGTGACTTTGACAGTGTATCAGCCCAGATGCACGTTTGAGATTTACGGTGAAACGGTGCACAATTTCGAAAATCTGATGTCACAACCATTGAATATTTTTTGATTGCGCATCGAATGGGCATATTATTATTGTTCGCTCAACTTCCAGTCGCAAATAAAAAAAATTATCTTCGCTATTTCAAACAATATTGAAACAAGTTAGATGCAAAAGTTGTAGAGCAAGAAAAAATAATAGAGATGAAAAAAAATTCGGACGGATTGTACACATAATATGAGAGATATTTGCGTCCGAAATTTTCTCATTTTTTGACAAATTTCTGATGCTGAAGGAACGCCTTAGCTTCGTGCAGCAGCTTCACGCCGAACTCACGATTCGCAATTGTTTTGAGGTAAGCGTTCAGTCAGAGGCAAACCCGTACAAGGTGGCTAAAACATACTACAATGATATCTTTCATTACAAGTTAGAAGCCGAACTATTCCTGCTGTAGATTTCCGTGATCCTGGATGTAGATTTTCGAGTCTTCGTCTTCCTGGACGTGGATTTTCGAGCCTTCGTGTTCCTCGTCGTAGAGTTTAGAGTCTTGGTGTTCCTCGCCGTAGATTTTGAAGTCTTCGTGTTCCTCGTCGTAGATTTTGAAGTCTTCGTGTTCCTCGTCGTAGATTTTGGAGTTTTCGCGTTCCTCGCCGTACATTTTGAGGTCTTCGTTGCCCTGGACGTACATTTCGGAGTCTTCGTGTTCCTCGCCGTAGATTTTGAAGTCTTCGTGTTCCTCGTCGTAGACTTTGGAGTTTTCGCTTTCATAGACGTAGATTTCCAAATCGACAATTTCGACGAAATCCAGGGTCAACAAGTGCTCTCTGACTTTTACACCGGAAGTCGCAAAAGGCTGCAAATTGGTATACTCGTTCTTAGGACAAAAAAAAGGGATACGTGTTTTTGCATTTCTCTTTTAATCCATTTTTTTCAATTTGACGTATTTTTTACAATATCCACATTTGACAAGTATTGTGTAACTTTGTCACCGGAAGTTGCAAAAGGCTGCAAATTGATATTCTCGTTCTTGGGACGAAAAAAAGGGATACTTGTTGCATTTTTCTTCTAATCCATTTTTTCAATTAGGCGTATTTTAAGATTAGGTGCCCGGCTCATGTGTTTTGTTTATGGAACGTCGGTAGTATTTGTTTTACTCCAATCCCATTCTCTGGTGCTTTGCTTAGTGTAGTATCTAGTGGGCATCCCTGGCTGCCTTTAACTTCATCGATGCCGTCGAGGAACAAATGCTATGGGCGGCAGACTAATCAAATGAATCTTTATAGAGTGCGAATTAAGGCCTCGTAATGTAATTTTATTTAAAAATTAATATGGATCGTTTCGATGACATTATTTGCTTGCGGAATTAAATTCTATTATTAAGAATACTGATAGCATTATGCAGTGACCTCAATTGATTGTTTACATAATGCAAATCATGCATAAGTTTTCAAGAAATAAAAAGAAGCGTTTATCATTTATTCTGATGTTAAGGAACCACTAAATTTGTTTATCGTTGCCACTTGCCTCTGTGACATTGGAGGCTAATGCACGATTTGTCAAGATGCACGAATTTTTCCTTCGTGCTGCGAATTTAACGGAGGCTCCGGCCTTGTACGCAAAGAAGTACCCCAGTGAACCTCACCCGTGTCGGTCGACGTTTTCTTGGTTCGCCGAAAAACTTCGCCGTACGGGCGAGATTGCTCGTGTTCCTGGGAACCGAGCATACCCGGCAACTGGGGAAAGCTCTGCCACTCTGGCTTTGGCCTCGGTCGTGGTCAACCCACGCCAGAGTACGCGCGGGATCGCCCGTGATATCAGTGAGTAATGATTGTTATGACTTTCAATACATAATCAGCATTGATAAATTTAACAAAAAAGAACGCATTGGGTTAAAATTATATTGTAGGATTCGCTTGCCAGCAAATCATGATGTTTACTATAAATAGATATTTCTATTAATAAATGTGTGAGATGCACACATCAAATTAATCAATGTTGAAACGTTTCAATTTTTTTTTTAATATTAATATAAAAATAGTGATATTTAACATACTAATAAATGTGATTGTCTTTTTTAGGCATTAGTCATAGCTCTGTGTGGCGCGTCTTGAAGTGTGATGGTCACCATCCAGAAACGTTTCAATTTTTTTTTTAATATTAATATAAAAATAGTGATATTTAACATACTAATAAATGTGATTGTCTTTTTTAGGCATTAGTCACAGCTCTGTGTGGCGCATCTTGAAGCGTGATGGTCATCATCCCTACAAGATGTCGCTACACCAGCAGCTGTTACCTCCAGACATCACGGCGAGGCTTCAATTCTCAGAGTGGTGCAAGAGGCAGTTGCAGGAAGACGAAGCTTTTTCGAGGCGGATCCTCTTCTCGGACGAGTCCACATTCAACAACCTGTGTTGTTTCAATCGCCAGAACACCAGGCAGTGGGCTCAAGAAAACCCACACTGAATGAGGGAAATTCTGTACCAATTCCGATGGAAGTGATTGTCTTTTTTAGGCATTAGTCACAGCTCTGTGTGGCGCATCTTGAAGCGTGATGGTCATCATCCCTACAAGATGTCGCTACACCAGCAGCTGTTACCTCCAGACATCACGGCGAGGCTTCAATTCTCAGAGTGGTGCAAGAGGCAGTTGCAGGAAGACGAAGCTTTTTCGAGGCGGATCCTCTTCTCGGACGAGTCCACGTTCAATAACCTGTGTTGTTTCAATCGCCAGAACACCAGGCATTGGGCTCAAGAAAACCCCCACTGGATGAGGGAAATTCCGCACCAATTCCGATGGAAGCTGAACGTGTGGTGTGGTATAGTCGGAGAGCATATAATCGGGCCACATTTTTTTGAAGGTACCCTGACTGGCATCATGTACGGCGAATTCTTGAGTCGCATCCTACCCAGCTTGCTGGAGGATTTGCCTCTTGAACTTCGGCGCGACATGTGGTTCCAGCAGGACGGTGCACCACCGCATAGTACCCGAAGAAATGCTGATCTTCTTGATCTTGCGTTTCCTGATCGTTGGATCGGGATTCGTGGCCCGGTTAAATGGCCTGCCAGGTCACCTGATCTGACGCCGTTAGATTTTTTCCTTTGGGCACGCCTAAAGGATTTAGTCTACGCGACACCACCTACCACCGTCCAAGACATGCGTCAACGGATTGTTGATGCATGTGCTTCCATCACGGTGAACGAATTGCGTAATGTGCAGCGTTCGTTCATCGAGCGACTCGGGGAATGCGTGGATGCCCAGGGCGCCCATTTTGAACACCGATAGAGTCCTTTTACTGCCTACACGGCTTTAGATTCTTTTTGTACAGATTTCGCATGTAATATAGTCTGTGGCATCCATTCGTACATAGCGGGAAAACCTTCATCAACGCCGGGGTTTCATAATCGCATTAATTAACTTATTTCATTGTTCGCGTTGCATGCATACCCGTTTTAACGTAGTATCAGCTTGTTTCTCTTTGATTCCTCTAGCAACACTCTGGGAATAGGCTCTTTTCAGAGCCGCCAAAAAAATCTTACGTAAGATACATGCAAGGTGACATAAAACGGTTCTTTTGAGAACCACATTTAATTAACAATAAAAATGGTTTCCCCTTTCCCTTCTTTTATAATGTAATATTAAAATATTAATAAGAATCAATGACGTCGATATTATGTATTGCGTTCTCATTTCTACTAAAGATGAGTAATTCCAGGTTTTCCCGTAAATGTTTAGACAATGCACAAAAGTAAGATTGTACTCAATTATCTAAAAACTACTTTGACTTCCTACCAGACTTTATCTGTGTCTTTCTGCAGAATATACACTATGACTTCACCTATGTCTTCTTCTTTGTTTTTCTCCGTATACACTGTAACGTGGCGTCCGTGGGACGGCCAGTTACATAAAAGTGTAGGGGCACGGAGAGCCGTGTCGCCAACAAAAGCCGCCAAGAGAATGCCGATGCCGACGAAGATTCAGGGCAAGGGGAAGCCGGGGAGAGAAACCGGCACCGGCGAGCCCGAAAATCGGGCGGACTCGGGTAAGATCGGCGCCGCCCGGAGACTGGCGGGCGGTGAGCGCCGAAAAGCGGATAGCGGACCGAGGCGAGAGATAACGCACGAGTTTGGGTGAACTCGGGATTCTTCGGGAATCCTCGGGCCGGGGGGCAAAAAGGGGCCCACTTCGTTTCGAACCGCGGATCGGGAATAAT